GGGAGGGGGAGTATAGAGCATGCTGAAAACGATTATAGAGGCATAGACCCCTATTTTATAAAGTGCCATTCATTTTTCTCTTGTCATGACACCAGCAACACTTGCATGTTTTATGATGTCACCTTGCAGGTTAGAGATGGATGCTAAATTTAACTCAAATGTACACTTGCAAAAGCATTATTGTATTTTCTCAACTTTTGCTCCACAGTTGTTAGATGACGTCTCCTTTCGACTTCGAAATAAGTAGCGAAGAAATTGTTCGTCTGAAAAGAAAAGAGGAGCAGTAGGGTCGTGTACCAATACAGGTGCAAATTTGCTACCGAACTTAAATGTGAAATAAAGGTTTAGCACCTGTTGCATATTCTACATAGAACGAATATGAAGCAAGTAATTGAGCACAACCACTAATGAAGGTTGAAGCAACTAGCTGGTCAGAAAAAATAGTGTGATTCATACTTACAGTCAGCGTTAGTTTGGCTGACATATAAGGCGAAACTGGAGCAGATGTTTTTTCATTTGGATCTCCTATAGCTTCAACAACGTCTTCTCTTATTGCGCAGCACTTGCCATCAATATCTGTAATTTACGAGTACTTGTTTACATTGTATGGACAACGCAATCATACCCCTAGGGCATTCATCGCCAAGTGTTGTATTTGCATTGCACTGCATTGGCTCGTACAAGAGGGTTACCGTAATCGTGTTTGGGTTGAATATACCATCCATCAAAGGCACCTTCCAGTCATCCTCACTCATTGCCTCAATCACCTAAGAGCAAACTATTTTACTTCTAAACTATTCATCTAAAATACTGAGTTGTTTCGAAAGTTCAACCCGCTTCTGCACCTCATTTTTTAACTTGCTAGTTTTGAAGCAAAAACCATTTTTGTTGAAAGTTGTTTAAAGCGCTCAAAAGTTTTTTTCTTTCTTGATTTCCCGTATGAGTTCTCTTTTTCACGGAGCTCGGATTAGTCCGCTGATCTGTACCTTAAAGCGACAACAAAGCATATGTGGAATTCATTCTTTTTGTTTTTTCTTTTTCAAGACCTCTATAGATCGTTTGATTGGTGAAGGGCAGGTGCCACGATGATCTCATTAGCTTTTGTAAGAGCAGCATCTGCTTTGAGATGGGCTCATGGAAATAGTGTGCTAATAAAACCCAGAAATCCCCTAAGTTGCACGTGAAAAACTTATGGAACAGGTAATGTGACGTGCTACTGCAGAAGACAGTGCACAAAGCTGCACATTTCCAGGGCACACGGATAGGCAGGATCAATGAACATCTAAAAACATATAACTTGCGTAACAACCGCGAACGCAGTGCGATTGCAAAATTTTGCTCCATATCACAAGAGGTACATTCCACACCAAAATTGAAAGTCGAAAAGTTTCAGTTTTCAGCAGCGAAACTATAAAGTGTTCACAATTTCTGACGTTTGAGAAAGATTGAGAAAGAGTGATTTTATCAAATAGCTTTGAATTTCTTGTGAACATTTTTGGGGAAGAAAATCTAATCGATTCTGAGACTATGCTGCATAGCCGACTATTGGCTAAACAATAGCAGAGTTTGTGCTATATTACCACATTTCGGATAAAATTACAGTTTTCAAAATAGGGCTTCCAAAATGAATGTTGTATAGTCCTTCCTGCTAGTAAATTTTTCTTTGTAGCTGCGATATTCTTTGAGCTGCATACAGCCGGGGTTGTATATTGTAACACAGTTTATGCACTCAAAATGGTCTACTGGAAAAACTTACGGTAAGTCAAAAACGAAGTTAGGGAACGGGTAGAACTTTTCAAAAAACCCTATATTTGAACTGATACCGCTTTTTTGACGTTTGATGCGATGAAATGCATCACTTCTTCTTTACTCTCAGATACTCCTGGTACTTCCGAACTATTACCGTAGACAAACCGTAAAGGAAGTTGATCCATTTTCGCCATCACAACAACTTGTCTTTCTGCAACTGGCTATAGTCGCTCTTATCCAATGGTAAGTTGTCGTATATCTTTTATCCTCACTCGCAAAACTCCGCAACTTTTTATGCGCTTGTTGTCATTGTCAGCCACGGAGGAGCTTGCCGCGGAACGAAATATATGGGATAAAATCAGAAACAAGACTACCTCATAGAATTTCGCAAGCATGACTACACTGCTGGAAACTTTTGCCCTTTTTCCGAGTGCATTAATACTATAAGTACTACTCATGTTGAAATATTTGGACTAAGTTATATCAGTGGAATCGACCATAGTACTCTTTGGAACGCAACAAAACGAATATGTCTGCTAGCACACAGCCACAAGTTTTTGTTTACTGGCCTTCAGAAAGAAAGTACACGGCGCGGTTGCAACTAGCCTTTCAGATTGGTGTAGATATGAAATTACCTGGTAGAGAAGTGGGAGCACAGGCTAAGAGAAAGCCTGGAAAAATTGAAAGAAAGAATAGTACAAACATTAGTGCACTTCTGACGGTTGCTGAGGAAAAGCACTTATTTATAAGTCTGTCATATTTACATATTCCGCCGCATTCCAAGTTTTGAAATGCTTCATTATCTCAAAACGAAACTGTGTTGCTTATTCACACCTGTGATTAAGCAACACAGTCATCACACTTGTGACGAATTGTCGAAACATTACATTTGTTTTTACCAAAGCATTCTCATTTTGTTATTGAAGCTGCTTTTACCAATTATGTTAGCAAGATGTTAGCAACGCCTGGAATGCGGGCCTCAAGATGGGCATTACTGTTGTATCCTTTTGTTCGCTTCTAATATTACCGCAGAAGTTAGGCAACGCAAGCGCGCTATACTGAGTGGGGAACTACTAGGCTGTATATGAGTCGAGGCTACTGCAAGACGAAGGCGCAGAAGCAGTAGTTGAGCGGGTATAACGCAACACGCCCGTATCCTCACCGTTGTAAATCCTGCGTTTCATGCGCTCTGCGGCTATTAAAGCCGCGTTAGCGTCCAAAGATATTACGCCTTCGGGCAGCGGAGTATATATCGAGCCTTCCCTGGTACCATTCAAACTCATGTCACTGATTATCTTTATTTCCCCGTTAATGAGCCAATGTACTCGCTTCGCTTCGACACTGGAAAATGCGCTAGCACCGTTTTGCAAGGTTTTGCTCTTGTTTTGTGAATGAGTCCCAAATTATCTGAAAAATTCACCGAACGAGCGCACACCCTTGCATTCTCAAAAAAATAATTTTCAACAACTCTTGACGAATTCGTGCGCGGCGAGAAAAGAAGTAGTTTCAGCCGTTATTCAACAAAGTGACCATTTCGTAAAATGAAAACTGTATTCACTATAATACTATAGTGCTGTAATCAACCAATTAAGCTCTACACAGTTCCGTTATTCAAATTCTTTGATTCTTTCACCTGAGATGCTTTGATTTGTAGAAACAAGACCTTACTTATAAATGATAACTAAATATACCTATTTTGCACACGGTACACACTATCTTGAACTCTCTTTTTCTCTGGGAACTGAAGCAAATGAAAGTTGCAACGTCGCACTTGTCGTTCGCATTGCCGCACACTTTACAACTTTTGTTGCCATTGTAGATTTTGGGGCTGGGTTCAGACTGAGTCGATTCTGGAACTGTTCCAGCACAGTTTTCGCACTGTGCTAGAACTGTTCTGGAACTGTGCTGCATGCACTGCAGCCGCCCGCACGCGGTTTTGAGCGGCGCGAAATAGCAATTTTTGACTTTTGCCTATTTTCATCTCATTCTTGCACATTGTTTCCTCTTGTGATGAAGAAACTTCGAACCCGAAGCGAGGTTCGAGAATGAAGCCTGTCCATGTTCTGTCGTGCGTAAAAGACTTACTTTCCTCCGCACGTCCTTTCTCCTTCGGAACTTTCTGCAAAACATTCTTTTTGTATTTCAGAATGTCGCATTGACAATGATACCATGATGCGAGAGGACTGACGCTATCACCACGACTGTGGAAATCGCTAATTTTTCTTCTTGTTTTGATGAGACTGGGTCCTTAGGTGTTTCAGCCCATTTCTTTTCACTGCTTGTACTACTTGCTCGTTCGTTCTTGATTACCGTTCTGCTTCTGATGAAATTATCCGAACTTGGAGAAACGCTCGCGGACGGAAGGCATCGTTTTTTACTAGCTTCCAGCATGATGTGCATAACGAAATAGCACTCATTCCTGTACCCCTCTCCAAGCTTGAAACTTTTCTCATTACGAGAGCAAACGAGACACAAGAATGAAGCGAAAATGAGCAAAATGTGCTATAGAAACTGACGAAGAAACTTTCTTTTTGACGCTCAATCAAAAAACATGCAAAGTTTTTGGAACTAAATGTGTCTCACAGAGTTAACGGGAATTATACGCGTGAAGATTTTTGTATCCTTCTCCTCCAAAATACCATGCAAAGATGAGTATCCTCTTTTTGAAAAACGTCATTTGGGTACTTTTTGCTTGAGTTCACCTTCGATTGTTCGCAGATGCTATACAGAGTCTTCTTGAAAAAAAAAACATAATAAGCATATGTTTACCATGAAACATGGAGTGAATAACTTGGATTTGTGTCCCAAACTACTGAAGAGTTACCGGGATGCCTTGTATTCAAACTGTACAAAGTAGCATCACCTCACCGCTCAGCACAGTTACTAGTATCTAAATACTATCATTCGTAAGTAAAGAGACCATTAGAGTGGAGAAGGAAACCAGGAAAATGCCGTTGCCAGAAATGCGTGCGTAGTGTAATGGCCGTCGCGCCATCGTCACGATTTCTTAAATGCCCTATAGCTAAGAGCTGCCCCAGGACGAAGGCGGTCGCCCAAATA